ATAATAAAAAGACCAGTTCTGCTGCAGTGCAGAGTTTTGTGTAGGAGAACAACACATGATAAGGTTGAATAAGGTAAAGTCATCAGGAATGTTGTTAAGAGTATCCCACAAATAAATTCAGAGGAATATATCACGGCTGGTTAGAAATCAAAGACTTTTTAAAACAAACAATATACCAGCCAGGAGCTTAAAAGACTGACCTATCAAAGGTGATTGGATTGGCAATCCAGTGAGTGGATTGGCAGGGAGAGCGACCAGAGACTAAGTAACCCATGAGGAAGCCACGGTCACAGTCCTAGCAGGAAGCAATGAAAGCCTGAATTAGGATGGTGGCGGTGGGACTATAAAGATGGAGACAGTAAAAAAAAAAAAAAAAATTAGAAAAAGATGGAGACAGAAATGAGATGTATGACACAGTTTCACAGATTTGAATGAAGAGAGAAGAAACAAACGTAGTCGTTTCAAGAGTGGGAGACTGAAAACAAGACGGTAGTACCACGACAGAAAGAGACAAGTCTGAAGACAAAATTAATCTATGGACACAGCAGGCAAATTTGGTTTCAGACAGGTAGCTAAGGAGGTGACACCAAGAAATAAAAGTCGGCATGAAAAGATGTGGAGTCTAGATGGGAAGGAAAGCCCTCTTCTCAAAAAGGATGGCTGAATCCAAGGAAGCTGCAAAGATTCTGGTGCAAAGGAACAGAATGGGACCAGTACACTGAGGACAGCTGTCCTCGAAACCCAGGTTCATAAGGAAGTGAAAACCTAACAGAAGAGAAGGCAAAAAAAAAGAAAAAAAGTGTCACTAAGGCTAGGGAGATGAGTCTGAAGAAGACAGAGGTGGTCAGGAAAGCCAGATCCTACAGAAAATCTAAGATGAGGACTGAAAGCAAGTCATCACACGTGGCAGTTATGAGTCCTCTGGAGACCAGCAAAAAGCCAGACTTGAAAAGGTGTCAGATGACAATATAAGCAGAAAGAAAGCAGAAGCAGCATGTACAGCCTCTGTTTTCAAAGGCATTTGGAAGTCTCTTTCAGATTTTTCATTTGGAATACAAGAATGTGTGGTTTTAAGAACATGAAAGAATCTGATAATACAAACTGTCCTTAGTGGTCACTGGCGTCGTCTTTCTTTTCTGCTCTCCTTGTTTCATCTAATTTCCTGGTTATCCTGCACAGCCTCTCAACACCTCTTATTTCTGGCTGCACTCCTAGCCTCTCTCAGTAAGAGAGAGTCATGTATAATCACTCCCAATCCTTTCACTTCTATTCTCTTCTTTCACTCACACCAAAGAGAAAAGGATTAAAAGTCAGATTTTACAAGAAAACCAAAATTTAATAACCACCTTTTTCTGTTTTCAAAAGAAGACCATCTTCCCCAAAGTACATTAAAAAGATGCTCAATATCATTAGTCATTAGGAAAATGCAAACTAAAACCATACTGAGCAACCAGTTCATGACTACTAGGAATTATATTGGGTTAGCCAAAAAGTTTGTTCAGTTAGTGAATACATTGTTCAATAAAGTTCTTGGTAAATAGGAAAACTATGTCTTTTATTTTTTACTTAAAATTGAGAGAACTTTTTGGCCAACCCAAAACTAAAATTTAGAAGACTGCGGAGGATATGGAGTAACCAGAACTCTCACACACCAATGATGAAAATGTAAGATAGTACAGCCACTTTGGAATAGCAGTTTACCCAGCAGTTTCTTAGAAAGATAATATAACACCTACCATATGATCCAGTCATTCTGTTCCTAGGGCAACGCCATGGACAGAGGAGGCTGGTGGGCTACATACAGTCCCTGTGGTCACAAACAGTCAGACATGACTGAACATCTGAGCACACCCACATACAATGAAGGCATATGTCAGTACACATACTTAGATGAATATTGACAGGCAAAAACTGGCATCAGTTCAACTGTCCAGGAACATGTGAATGGATATTCAATTGTCGGTATATCCATACTAATTCAATTCAATAATTATGCTAGGGCGGGGTGAGGGAAAGCAGCCAGGAAAAAATATACATACTGTATATTTCCATTTATATAAATTACATTTACAAAGTGCAACTAACTCTATAGTGACAGAAAGCACATCCACTGATAAAGGGATGGATTGGAGAAGAACATTAGAATAAAGGTATTACAAAGGGGCAGGAAGAAACTTTTGAGGGTGATGGATATGTTCATCATCTCATGGTGGTGGATATGTTCATTATCTCAATGGTAGTAATGGTTTCACAAGTATATATAAAATTAATCAAATTGTATATATTAAACATACGCAGTTTATTGTATGTCAGTCATACGTAAAGCTGTATTTAAAGAGAACAGTTGGGGTGATTGGCAAAATTGGAATATGCACTGTGTATCAGATAATAATATCATATCAATGTTAAATTTTCTTTAATGAAGAAAGTCAATATCCTAACCTCCATTAACAGTCAGCCAGCATGAAAGCTAAAGCTGAGACTTCTCTCAGGTAAAGTGAAAATATCAGTTGGGCACTCTCACTGTTATCCTACTTTTGAGAGACAGAAAAAAACTAACAGCCCTTTCCATCAAATTTAGGCGATATTGCCAAAATACATGCCTGCCTATGCTGTTTCACGTCTAAACTACTTGCATTACATTAAGTCTTTGGGAATAAAAAGTTTCCATCACTGTGTGACTCTGTGAACCAGAGCAGGGTCTTTGATTCTAACAGGAAAGGGGAGAGAGTTTCTCTGGCCCCCGACAGAATCCCAGCTCTTTACCCATGTGATTTCTTCAGCAGCAGCCGCTTGGATCTCACAGCTACTTAAAATACAAGCTTCCTTTCCAAGAATTCCTTGCTGCTCAAAAAGTCTCATTCTTAGACAAACCCAGGACCAGACATTTATCAAACGAATTTAGACTTGAAGTACCATATCAGATTGGGGTTTCCTAGGTAGCGCAGTGCTAAAGAATACGCCTGCCGAAGCAGGAGCCACGGGAGACACGAGCTCAAACTCTGCGTCAGGGAAGACCTCCCTGGAGGAGTACATAACAACCCACTCCAGTATTCTTGCCTGGAAAAAATTCCATGCACAGAGAATCCTGGCAGACTGCAGTCCATGGGGTCTCAAAGAGTCAGATACAGCTGAACACAGCACAGCACAACCATATCAGATGCTTAGGAGAGGCACCAGGAAACTGGGAAAGGTCAGAATTCCTGATTTGTCTCTTCTGAAATCGCTGGAGAATAAAATCCCCCAAGGTCTCAAGCCATAGGCAAGAAAGAAATAGCAAGTATAAACTACTTCTATGTGTTAATGAATACAAATTACCACGCTGGGTGCCCATCTCTATATTTCCATCTGGTGTCAAAGATACGGCTGGCACTTAGATTAAAAATAAAGTATTCAATATGGCACTATAATTATCCTTCTAAAACCGACTTTCAAAATAATCAGGATAAATTCAGCCTGACTCCAAAACACCAGATATTTATTCTGTTTGTATTTTTAAAACTTTAAGTAACTAAATTTTCTCAAAGTGATCACACAGAAATATATAACATATTCTCTAAAGGAAATAAATTCCTGTTGTCACTTAAAAATCACAAAACATTCTTCAATTTCTTATCCTATTATTTTACAGAAGGTACAGTGAAATGATACTATTTACAAATCTACACAAATTCAAGATATTCTTTTATATCATTTAAAACACCTTAAACTATATTTTACATGCACCTCCTTTACTTTATGCTTAGTTGCTTCAGTCATGTCCAACTCTTTGCGACTCCATAGACTGCAGCGCACCAGGCTCCTTTGTCCATGGAATTTCCCAGGCAAGAATACTAGAGTGGGTTGCCATTTCCTTCTCCATCCCATACTTTATACTATACATGATTTGGGCTTCCCTGGTGCTCAGAGGGTAAAGAATCAGCCTGCAATGCGGGAGACCTGGGTACAATCCCTGCACTGGGAATTACCCTGGAGAAAAGAATGCCAACCCATTCCAGTATTCTTGCCTGGAGAATCCCATGGACAAAGGACCCTGGTGGGCAATGGTCCATGGTGTCACAACTAACCACAGCACAGCACATACATGACTTGGGGATATTATATATTTATACCTAGATACTGCTCTACATGTAAGAAGTACAACATCATAGACACCATTCTCTGTAGTCAACTTGAGGGATCATTCCAAGGAGATTTTGGCTATACATGATCTTATATTTTTAAACCAACTTAGGACCCAACTCCCTCCATACAAGACTCTTCCACAATCAGCTGCAGTTTTCTTATAAGACATGTAGTAGAAATTAGAGCAAGAATCTTCTTGAAATCTCAGAGGGGGGAAAAAAAGAATAACCTTCACCAAAACCGGCAGAGGTACCAGGGTAAGACAGCTCCAGCACTTGCCCACTCCTCTGGAACCATGGTTTCCTTCCAGGCAAAACCATCCTAGAGCCAATTTGAAAATAAGATGGTTTACCCTTTTCTAAAGTCTTCTAACTTTTTCCCTCATGTCAGTGTTACACACTTCATAGCAACATTCTTCAATGAGGTTGCTAATGTTCCAGGCCACCTTCTCTGAACCCTCCTATGTCGCCCAACCAACAACCCTTCCCACTTCCCTTTCTTCTAGCTAGCAAAACTCAGGCCTTGTCCACCTTCCTAGGCTGTCCATGATCTCCAAAGGAGGCTGGGCTCTTCTCCAGAACCGAGGTGAAATATAATGGGTCAGAGCTCATCACCATGGTGATAGTTTTCCCAGGGCCCATTCCCAGTTGAGCCATGGAAACAATTCTGGCCAAGGAGATGTGAGTGGTAGTTTCTATTTTTTTTTTTTTTTTTTTTTTTTTTTTTTTTTTTTTTTTTTTTTTTTTTTTTTTTTTTTTTTTTTTNTTTTTCCATTTATTTTTATTAGTTGGAGGCTAATTACTTTACATCATTACAGTAGTTTTTCTCATACATTGAAACAATTCTGGCCAAGGAGATGTGAGTGGTAGTTTCTATTTTTTTTTTTTTTTTGAGTAGTAGTTTCTAGATAGGTTTTCCTCAGGCTTTAAGAATGCAGGACAGGTACAGTTTCTTTTTCACCTCTCTGGATGTAGTTATACAAAGACTGGAAGTCACTGAGCTGGTGAATCAACCAACCTTGGAAACACCTACTTCCAGGACATTTGTTACGTGAGATAATAAATAAACCTAGAGTTTAAGCTGCTTCCACTTGAGTTCTATGTCACCTACAACCAAAAACTTCCAAATAATGCACTAGCTAGGTGTGTCTTGAATTTACTTTTGCTACGGCCTAAGTCTCTGACAATGAACATGAAAGACAGAACCAGCCAATCTGTAAAACTGGAAGAGGACGTTTCCTTTATTGCCCAACTGGCTCCTTAACAAAGAGGAGGTATTATTGATTATCTGGAAACATCATTCTGTCTTTGGTTGAAATTATCTTGTATCTCCTTTTTCCAAGATGAATACTTCTTCCATAAATTTGATGTACCTGTTTAATACGGGGGGAGGAGATTTCTGATTACCATAATCTTACTGATTTATGAACCATAACAACCTAATCCTACATTATCTCCGTTGAGGGCAGACTAAAAGAAATACATTTAAACCAACAGAATGTAGTTCACATATAAAGATGATTTTCCATAGAGAGGATTATAGAGACAAAAATTCTCCAGGGACAATGTGAAATCTCCTTGATGAAAGTCTTTAAAAATAGATTATCCATGTAGCTGTGAAGCTTTAGGCACTATATTTGGATTATATGACAATTCACTATCTCTGCCAAGCCTATCTAAAGAGAAAATTTATCTTCTTTCTAAACAGAAATTTAGAAAAACATCTGAGAGTTAAAATAAAAGAGAACTAAAAACTTCCTAATCCCAAATTCTAGGACAGTTATATTTATCATACACATATGCAAATCAGTTCTTACAGCAAATTCAACTCATCATATTAAGGATCAAAAAGGCAAACAGTATGATCGAAATCCTACTATGTCTCAATTTCTATAAAACCCTGACAGTGTCATTTAAGAGCCTTACTGGCTAGAAAATGTCAGTGACTAATTTAACTAAGAGTTAACCTATTTAATTAAAAAGAGAAACAAAACCACTCAGTAGATTAAAAAGAAACAGTATATATGTATCAGAATAAAACAGTTTCTACTCTCTAGCAATTCTATAATGAAAAGAATAAAAATTTCTTAACATTTTTAGATGTAAACTTTACCGCTAATGCTAAATATAGACTGTCCCATAAAAAACACCATTTGAAATATTTAAGATTTATAGCTACAGGGCATTAAATCCCCATTCACGTTTATAATGACCAATAACTTTGAAAAGCAAACACAAATAAGTGTTTACTTCTCCAGGGAAGTCATAAAATTTGCTGGCATAATGTGTGGTGAATAACTGGTCTTTGGCTTAGCAAACTAAGACATAGATTATCTGTCACCTGCTCACACAGGAGCAAAACAAGGATGGATGGTATGGTAAAGAATGTGAGTCTCAGAAGTCTAGCCTATTGTTATGATGACTTTTATAGAAATTAGAAAAAGCACCCTTTCCAGGTGATTACAGGCCACCAGATGCCTAGCTTGGGAAACAGACAGTTCTTCTGCACACACAGAAAAGGGTGTCTCTCTACTTGGCATCATTACACAGTTTACATCTTACACAATTATACACAATGGCACCAAACTTACCTTTGGGTGGTCCTGTCCAAGCTGACAGGAACTTCCATGTCTTCTAGGAATGGAGGAAAGTAAGTCTCATTCTTTCTTTAACAGACTCAACTACCAAAGCCCTCCCTCATTCTTAAAAAGTTGGAGGCTGCTGAAGTTCCATTAAACTGGGTCCCATTCTCACTAAACAGAGAAAGGGGGAAAAAAATTCCCCAGAGAGACCAAGCAAGTGAGACTTTTATAGATTTATTTTTCAGATGTAAAGTATCATATCTTTACTTTTTAAGCATAGTATTTCATAGTACAGACTTCAGCTTTATTGAAAATATCAACATATCAGAATGCATGGTTTATATATATATATATATATATTTACTTTAAATGCTTTGTACTTTTCAAGGGAGGGCCTGTAACTACAAAGGTTTAAGGGGACTATAGAGCCACTCTTATCTTTAAAATAATGTCTTCCTTTGTTTACTTAAACTTTGCCTTTGAAGATTTATATTAAAAACAGATTGTAACTATCACAAAGACTGGGCTTGACATAAGGCCAACTAAGAGAACAAAGTTTTAGGGAGTCTTCTGGGATAGAAACGCAAGACTTAGCCACCTACTCAAACTAAACATACCAACTCAGTATTAAAAACAAATGAAAAAATGCTACCTTGCTCTTTAAAATTAACAATTATTTACATATTAGGAAGTTATTGGTCCTCCAAAAAAAAAACTATGCTTCAGTATAAAAAAGTATAAAAGAGAAATTATGCAAATATATGCACACAGAAACCTACCTACTTATTCTAAAGTCAAACCTTTGGTACTTTAGAATAAAATAAAATATAAATCATTATTGTTTATTGAGAATGGCTACAGAAGCCTTTCATGAGCTAAGAGGCAAAAATGTTAGGGATTCTCTGCAGTGGGATGGAGATTCTGCCAGCAAAGAAGGGGAGTAGCTGAGAAAGGCTAAGCTGAGTCACCACCTGCTCTGACTTCTGACCCCTAATTTCTTTAACTTCAGGACTTTCCCAGGTAATTATAAAAAATCTACCTACCAAGGTACCAGCATAGAGTTTTCAAAAGCAACATGTCACGGGACATAGGGACACAATCATCAAAGAAGAAACTCCATCTCTTGCCGACATGAGAAAACCCGGCAGTGTCCACCTAACAATGCTATCTGCACTTTATTGCCCAAATTTAAGATATGGAGAGCTTCAACTGGAAACTGACAGCACAGGCTTTGGAGGTAAATAGGTCTAAGTTTGAATCCCAGTTTCAAATCCTAGTTTCACCTCTTAGGAGCTGTGGACAGTCCTTGGGCTAACTTCTCAGAGCCTTAATTTCTACTTATGTAATAGTACCTACATCAAAAAAGTGTCATGATCACTAAAATTTGATAATATATATAAAGTACTTAGGCTTCCCTAGTGCTGGTAAAGAATCTGCCTGCAATGCAGGAGACTGGGGTTCAATCCCTGGGTCAGGAAGATCCCCTGGAGAAGGGAATAGCTACCCACTCCAGTATTCTTGCCTGGAAAGTCCCACAGACAGAGCAACCTGGAGGACTACAGTCGATGAGGTTGCAGAGAGTCAGGACTGAGCAACTAACACTTCACTTTCATAAAGTACTTTAAATAAAGTACCAGTACATAAAGTACTGGTACATAAAGTACTGGCATATTATACACATTCAATAACTGTCAACCATTATTATTATTATTATTACCATGAATACTGATTTCTTCACTTCTTCTCTGATCCAGAAATCCCACTTCTGGAAATCCACCCTGGAGAAATAACCCAAACTACAGTAAAAGCACAACAATACTTATTACAACCATATTTACTGTTTACAATGGTGAAAAGTCAGAGGAATCTAAACGTATACCAATAAGGAAGCAATTAAGTAAATCATCAAATATTCAGTAAAATATTACTCCATCACTAAAAAATACATTAGAAATATAACAAAGAATTATGGAGCAAAATAACTGAGTCTATGCAAAGTGGAAAAAATCCAAGATTTAAAACTATATGTATATCATTATAACAATGTAAAATAATATCTTTAAAACATATAAAAAAAGATGAACAAGTAATACACCAAAATCATAATAGTGGATGTGAGAGAATAATGAAATTTGGAGTGATTTTTTTTTCTATATGATAATGTATACTACTTTTATAATCTTAAAATTATTATTAAATATGTTTAATTTGCTGCATTTACTTTAATATCCATTAAATAATTATTAAAATGGTAATAAAAATTAAACCACAAAAATATATTACTGAAGTAGTTCAAAATCAAAATAGAAATTAAGAATAAAACAAATGCTTCAAATATTAACATCCAAGTTAAAATATTTTTAAAAATCTGAGTCCCTATTGAACTATGTGCTTACATTTAAACTGGAAAGAGCCTGGGAAACATTTTCATCTGAGACTGAATAATATACATATTTTTAAATTTAAAATAAGTGTCGGTGAAATGAAATCATTTAAGATATATAAAGATACCCTGTTGTTTTTTAAGTCTTAGAAAAGCTATACTTCATAACAAAACCTAAATTATTCCCAGTAACAAAGTAAAACAGTAATAAGTGCCTTTCTATTTGAATAAATCAAATATTATATACAATGCCTATTTTCACTGTTTTAAAATGTGTCCATTTAGATAAGGTATGACAGAGATAACGTTTTACAAATTGGGGTGCTAAACAGTCAACAAACATTTTATGAATCTCAGAAAATGTCTAAAGATAACAGAAAAAAATTTAGAGGCGAACTCACACTATTTTCACTATTGCCCAAATGTGCTCGCCCATCTATGCCATCTCTATGTCGACGGTGCCACACTGGAAGCCCTGGCAGCAGCCTCGCTACTTCAGAGGGTCTCCCATTCAGCTTTCCCCCCTTCAGCAATGACCCACACCCCAGGGTTTCTCTTCTCTGCTCTGGCCCAGCCCTCCTCAACTGACACCTCCCGCAACACACACACACCCTTTCTATCTTATTTATTCGTGGGGGTTTAGTTGCTAAGTCATGTCTGACTCTTTGCAATCCCATGTACTATAACCCGCCAGGCTTCTCTATCCATGGGGATTCTCCAGGCGAGAATACTGGAGTGGGTTGCCATTTCCTTCTCCACTCAATCCTCTATATAGATTAGAGGGATTAGGAGACCACGGATTTAAAAGCCATGCCTTTGCTCAAAAATATCTATGGTTCTCCATTATCCACAGCACCTGAGCCAGGCTCCTCGGCGTGGCTGGCAGTGTCAGGGCCAACAACAGTTCCAGCGGCATCTCCAGCCCCTCACCTGTGCAAGCCGCGAAGTCCAGGCTAAACTTCCTCAACCTCGAGCCCTAGCACGGCTGTCACTGTGTATCTTGTCATTGTAAGGAATCACAATTTGTGACCAATAATGGCTCCAGTTCCAAAACTGATGAATTATTTACTTTTTAAACTAAGCTAGAAAGGATTCAGGTTTATTCCTATAATATCTCCTCATTTAACTGCAATAGAAACAGGGATGGAATTTCTGCTAGAATGCTGTAAACTGCCTATAATTCTGGGTTCCCCATGGAGGGATGTTACACATGAAATCTTATCTGTCACATGAGTCAGAAAGCTGTTCCAAATCAAGGCTCCTCACAGAGCGGCCTCACCAGAGGCACCTTCCACCTGAAAAGGGAACAAGAAGCCTGCCTCACTTCAAATTGTGGCCAACAACTAAACTTTAAAAGCCACCTTTCTGCTCATAAAAAGCAAGGGGAGGGGGACAGAAGGACTCCAGAGGTAACCAGATACTAAGAGAAGAACTTTTTTTAGACTCACTCTACTCCATCAAGATGGAGACAGCTTATTAGCAGGTTGGAGGCCAAGAATTTCATTTTCTGGATTTTCCACTCACAGCGCTGATATGAAGTTTCTTTTTTAAACAAATATACTTAACTTTAAAAAACCGATGATCTAAAAAGCAATATAAAGTATATCATAAAATAGAAGGTATTTAAATAAAGAAGAAAATGTGTGGGCTTCTGGATCACAGCAGATGGGGAAAGCCTGCTCTAAACAAACAGAGCCACCTGCCTTTCTTCTACTGTGCCTGCATTTTACGTCTATACCACTTGCACACTTTTTCTTTCACCTGTTATGCTATCTTTTCATTCTCCCTCCGCCCAATCCATTTACTAAAATGGGAGGATAAAGTCAAATGTCAGTTCCTTTACAAAATTTTCCAGGACTCCCCAACCTCCCTTAGTCAGGCCAACACTCTCTTGCAGGTAGCCCAACTTCATCTTGTAGTTCTGCTATTTCTTTAAAAAAAAAAACTCATCCCTTCAAGCAGATGGAATGCTCCCTGAGGGCAGAGAATGTACTGATTCATCTATGGGTATCACAGAGAACATAACTCTTGTTTGCCGCAAGCCGCAGACTATACAGAAAATGCATGTTTAATTAAACTGAATTTCTAAACAATCTTTTCAGAAGATGCAACAAAGTCAAACGTCAGGATCCTACATTCACCTACAAACAGCCACTGAGCACAGGACAGGGGTGGATTATTAAAGGGAAAGTGCCTCCCTCTTTGGAGGCAGAAAGGTTAACGTGCCATTGAAAGCCAAAACAATCTGAATTTTCTCTTAAACCATAAGGCATTTGTCCACACTAAATCTACAGGCTTCTAGTATGTCAATAATGTGGGAGCCCAACATTTACTAACAGCAGCAGTAATGTCTGAAAAGCAGATCATTCATTGTGCCACTTATAATTTATTTATTTGGAACTAGTATGTCTTATTTCATAAATATCTAATGAAACACATAAATGCATATACCACAAGATAAACTGGCATATCTAAAAGGAGAAAGAGAAAAATGGGGCAAAAGAAAGGTAAACATAGGAACTATAAACTTTCCTGGGAGTGAGCCTCAGCTGATGTACCAAATTAATAAAATTCTCTACTCTTGCTAGAGGTAGGTCAGAGGTTTGGCTCTAACACTTCTGGCAGCCAACAAACACAGGATAAGCCAATCATGATTCAGCATCCTTATGATAAAAACAAAAGGCTCTCACCGAACTCTTCCTCCCTTGGTCCTTATCAAGAGAATACTATCTAATGTAACGAAGTCCTCAATGACATCCTGCAGTTGATCTGTCAGAGCATTCTGGAAGACCATCCTTCATACTAATCTTCACAGGCAAATGCCAGCACACACATCAGTAAATGCAAAATGACAGAGAAAAAGGTGATCAGGGCAACCGAGGTACACTGCTCCCTGCAGGTCCAGATCTATCAGAAACAGATTTTATTCTATCTAGACTAACCTAAAATCCAGAGGTTTCAGGCATCCAATTCTCTTTGAAATTATAAACAAAACTTGATGCTCATGTCCATCTTTCTGGGGGATATGTCTATGGTTTCATAACATCTTCAAAGGGAAGCATGACTTAAGAAAAGATAAGAACCACTGATCTAAAGAACCAGACTGCATATATCCTTCAGGCAACCGTTCATAAGCAGTTTTTCTTCTGAGCTTCTAAGAAGTGCTAAGCCTGAAGACTATAGCTTCTGACAAGCATCTGAAGTATAGCTTCTCTCTGAAGTCATGTGTGGAACTCTAAGCTTAAACCACTGGCCAAATTGTGTGTTAATTGTATGATACAATGATACATGACTTTGAATACAGTAATGCCCATAAGCATACAGAGTATATAACAATTATTCTTCTACACAGTTTCAGCCATGAGCATTGACAAAGGTGCCTCAAAGGATCAGTGGTATTTCTTCTAGTTAATATAAAAAGTTTAAGAACAAAAAACACCTTTTGCCTGTGAATAAAAATTACAGATAAGTGCCAAAAACAATTTTCCTAGATAAACAGTATTTTATAATCTTATAATAACCTTTCCACATTAGTTGATACAATCTACACTTTTTTTCCTTTTTGTTGCTTTAACTTGCATTATACAGCAAAACAGTCGCTGCCTTGACTTTAGACACACACACACAGAGTCAACCATCTACCCATAGTATGGTGGTCAGAATGTCTCAAGGGCCCAAGGGCATCAAGTGAGAAAGCCGGCCCATAGAAACGCTAAAAAAAAAAAAAGGCTCATTAAGACAGCATCTGTCTAGAAGCCACAGCCATCCTGAGTCTGGTCCTCAGCATAACGAGTCCAGAGACATAGCTTTGTCAAAAATAAACAGTGACTAGACTCAAGAGAACTAACTCATGTTAACTTAACTCATAAGAGGCTAAAGTACAAATCAGAATACCAATTTACCAATTAACCATAAAGAATATTCCTTTTTTACTTATCAGAAAATTTTCACCTGAAGCCAGGATTCTACTTCCCCAATGCTAGGATACCTGAAATTCTACATAAATAATTGGTTCACCAAAAGTTAGAACAAGCAGTGCTAGAAGAGTTTGGTGGATACCTAATGAAGTATCTATATCCAATATACAACTTTCTAATGATCAAAGTTGTGGCTTTCATGGGTAGAATCTCTTTTCTTCTGTTGAATACTGTTGCCCTAATACTGTGGACTTCTTGGTATCCAAGCTTTCCTCTTTCACATCCTTCTATCATCAAGTATTTTTCTAGACAGGCTATTAGACAACTGATGAAGGTGAACCTCACATGCATTATTATCCATATTTTTCAGACTAAAAACTCCCAGATAAAGTTGCTTAAGCAAACTTGCCCGAAGTCACAGACAGTTTAAAGCAGAGCGCGGATTGAAAACACATACATTTAACCTTGCAGTAAATGAAGCTTCAAGGTGTCCTTCCCAGGGTCTCTGACCTCCCTATTTGATTAAAATGACAATGTTCCAATAAGACCCTAACTATAACCGCAAGTACACCATAACTATAATTCCTGGTATACAGGTCTATCTCTCTCACCAAATTGAAACTCTTTGAGGAAGGGAATTGTATCTCATTCATCAGTGTATCCCTAGTGTGATATCTAGTTACCTAGGTAAATATGCAAATAAATTTGTCCACTGGTTTAACATAAAGACTATCAAACTGAAGGCCTTGAATAGCCATGCAGTCTTAGGAAAGTCACAACTTCTCCTGCCATCAGTAAACATACCATCTAAAAAACAGAATGAAATAGATATACAAGGTGGCTAAGGTTCTTTCTAAAAGCACTACGATTGAAGATGGGTCCTGATTTTTAGTAGCCTATCTTATTAAGTCTGAATTATTATAAATAAATTAAATTCCTCATTTATCTTCCATACTATACTACAGACAATACATAGTTATATACACAGAGTTCAGAAAAAGCTTCCTCTTTTCTGAAAGGTGATAACTATCATCCATACCAAAATCAAACAGTGGCACCCTCCTCTGGTGAATATTAAAGGAGTTAAACCACACAGAAGACAAGATTTAGATGGGGGGATTTTCTTTGAATGAAAGAAAAAGCAAGAGAGAAGCTACCTAATATTATTTGCCATCACATTCCCAATAGCAATTAAATAGCTCCTTTTTATAACTACATTTTGTCCTAAAACAAAGCCAAAACGAATGAACTGGCTACAGTCTGTACAATGTCATACAGAGAACAATTATTCTATTTTTCAGAGTACTGATAATACTTATTATTTTGCAGACAGCAAACTTTTTAATGGAAGGCACAATGAAACTCATTTCATAGTCTGGCTAACGATGATCTCCTTTATTATTTAAAAATTTAATGAAAAGCCTTATACAGGTAAAACATTTACAGTTAAATAAAAGCATTTATTATGGATCTTTTCTGAATGGTACATCTACCAGAAGATAATACTGAATTTTTCAACCTGAAATCTGTTGGAGTCTTCAACATTTAAGTTTTAGAATATCAACTTGGAAGAAAAGTTTAAAACACCCCACTCACTTACATGTTCAAAACATAACAATACAGCACACCCAGAGAAGCACAACCCAGAGTTTCACAACATTAATACTACATCCAGACCTTTAAATTAATAAAACTGTACTTTCTAAGACAAGAATCAGAACTGCCAACAATTTTAATGTAAAAGTATGTAATAAACATAATTTTTATTAAATGATTTATAAGAATCGAGGCACAGTGGAAACCTACATTACCATATGTAAAATAGATAGCCAGTGGGAATTTGCTATATGACTCAAGGAACTCCAGCCAGGGCTCTGCAACTACCTAGAGGGGTGGGATGGAGAGGGAGGTGGCAGGGAGTCTCAAGAGGAAGGGGACATATGTATACCTATGGCTGATTCATGTTGATGTTTGGCAGAAACCAACACAATTCTGTAAAGCAATTATCCTTCAATTAAAACAAATAAATATAAAATCAAATTTTTAAAAAAGAAGACATAAAATGAAAATACAGACATTCTGACTCAAACCAGGAAACAAATCAATCATTATATTGGCAACCTCCTCCTTCAGATATGTTTTTACCCAAGTACACAGTGGCCCTTCCCTCAATTAACTTCACATCTTGGCCCTTCCCTCTGTTAACTTCACACCTTTCACCTACTCAAAGGAAAAGAACCCCAAACTATATAAGAGGCTACAAAATTCCAATCCGTGAGAAAACTCCATTTTGAAACACAGAACACAGAAAGGGCTAGGGTGGATGAAAAATCGCAAAAATTTATTTCAGCTCTACCAAATAAACTTTCCAACTATTAGTAAGTTGTCATTCCTGGCAAAGTTGGTTCCACCAGGCAGGCAGATGCAGTAAGTCGTAAAGATGAGCGGAGTGGTGGCTGAAGTGACTTGGTACCAAAAGAGACAACCAGCTGAGAGCTCTCTCAGTGTTCACCAAAAACAAAGAACAAGCTTGAAAGAGAATTCCCGCTACAGCCCACCCAGTGAGCATAAGCTCCCAGAAGAGAACGAGCGGAGGGCTGGACGGAGTAGGGGGTGGAGGGGAGTGATGAAGAAGGGGTGGCAAAGGTGGGGGGAGGGGCGGGGATACGAGTAAAAAAGCACGCTTAAAAAAGAAAGTATGCAGCTAAGAAACTCCATTCCAAACTGCCAGATTGAGATGGGGTGGCTGAACCACGTTCACCACTCACTTCGTCTGGCCGATGCCCAAGGACCAATGCCAGTTCTCGCTCCGACCTCCAGGAAATCTGAGCCCCGGCAAGCAATCAGGATGCCGCGGAAATGCTGGAGAGGAATCTGAACCTCCCTCTAACCTCAACTCTTGCCCCCGCATGAACCCCCGAATAAAAGAATTCAGAAGCAGGGAGACGTCTCCGTCCCACGCCGGCTCAGAGGATTTCGCAGGGATGAAATTTGGGTACCGCTACCTCTGCGGGCTTTGCCACCTCTTCTAAGGCCAGAGGGACCTCGGTCCCGCGCCTCGATCCAGCTAAAAGCGGCTGGCCAGCTAAGCGCTGCTGTCAAGTGGCCGGATTGCACTTGCAAAGTTAACGGAATTAGGAAGGAGCCCAGCGCTGCCCCCTCGGGTTCCTCCTCTGGGAGATGGAGATGGAAAGGACACCGCTTCCTCCATCCTCACTAAGCCCTCACTGACTCGGCTCTGCAGATGTTATCTTTTTCCTAACGAGAATCAAAGATACCTTATTCCTCCTTTGTGCCTAGTTCGGGTTCCAACCCATAACAGGGGCGCTGAGGCCGTGGACCAAAGTTGACAGTAGAAACCATTAACTCTCCCAGGAAAAGTAGCACAGTCATCTGCTGCGTTCTGGCCTTGAACAACTTCCTAAATTATGAGTTATGCATGATCCTCCCTCCCCCGCATAGGACCCTCTGTACAAGAGGTCTGAATCCGGAAGTGTTTTTGACAACTTGGTCACATTTGGAAGTAGTGGCTCTGTCCAACCCACCCCCAGGTAGGTCATCACCACGCCCCTCGCACCCAGTCCTACCGGCTGCGCACACAACGTCCTGTAGTACACACACACACACACACACACACACACTCAAAGTCTCAGAGAATTCCTACCTCGCCCCCGTGCCCGTCGAAGATCCCGAAGATAGAGGGGTGCGTCTTGTTGGCTAGGTCCGTAAGAACTTCGAAACGGTCCTCCATGTGGTCTCTCCGACCCTGGATGGAATACACCGCCACATTGTGGCTCTTGAACTCCCAGGTCTTGGAGAACTCAGCCTCCAGCACGTCGAGCCCCCCCAGTCGATCGTTCTGCATGATCTCGGCCACCTTGCCCTTCACCATCTTCACGGCGTCCCGGCTGGACTTGACGATGGTCTTCACCTCGTCCGTGTGGAAGAAGTAACTCCACAGCGCCAGGCTGATGCACAGCAGGAAGAGCGTCTCGGGTCTCAGCAAGAAGTAGCGCATGATGCGACCCAGGAGAGACAGCAAAGTCATTGTATCCTCTATCATTTATTATCGCTAGAGCCCCAACCACCAGCAGCGACGCGCGCCCCGAAGGCTGGCTGGGTCCCGGAGCACTGCGGGGACAGCCCGCGGGGAGGGAGGCGGAGCAGCAGCCGAGGGTAGGCAGGGGGGAGGAGGCTCACGGAGCCGGCCGGGAGGCGAACGATCCGGCAGCTCCGAGCCGGCCCGGCGAACAGAGGCAGTTTCCCTTTTGTCTCCCGGCCTCGGCGGCCCGGAGGCTAGCGCCCAGCGTACCGGCGCCGGTGCCCGCCGCCTGCTACCCCTCCCTACGCCCCTTTGTGAGGCGACGGCTGCTGCGGCCGAGACGCCGGCGGTGGCACAGCAGTCGCGGGTGCCGGGGCTGGACGACAGGAATCAAGTTTAAGTTGAACCGGGCGGGTCTGCGGCGGTGGGCTGGAGAGTTTCTGGGCGCCGACGCCCGCGCAGCCCCTCGGCTGGGGCCCCTCGCCGCTCCCGGGAGCGATCTGCAGGTGAGGAAGAGCTAGGCAGGAGAGCCCGGCGGGCGAGGGATGCACGTCCCCTCGGTCGCCGCCGCAGGGGAGCGCACAGCGGGCCAACCGCTCCGAGTCCTTCAGACAGGCCGGGGGGAGCCTCAGAGAATAAAACTTTTGCGGGAGCCTGGGCAGAGGCGGGGGTACCTGGAGCCGGGGACGCAGCAAGAACGGCGCGGAGCCGCAGGCGGCCGGCCAGGCTCTGCCTGCCTCTCCCCAGCACCTCCCAGCTCCGCTCGGCTCGGCTCGCGCGCTCCCTCCTCGCGCCGCCGCTCGCGCTCGCCCCGCCCCGCGCGCGCTCGCCCCGCCCCGCCTCGCTCCGCCCCCTGAGCCGGGACTAGAGGCCTGGAGGTGCTCGAGCCGAGCTGTCAAAGGCCGAGGCCGCTCTGCCGCGGCTGGCGCGCTTGCCGCCGCCGGAGGTCCGGACGAACCGAAGGGGAGGGAAGGGGTGCGTCTGCAGCGGAGCTCGAGTGGATGGTCTTGTGTGCCTCCTATGCGAGCTCTCAGGACAATATAAAACTGACCCTGGTGGTCTGATCGGTGGTTTTCTGGGAGCCACGGCTACCGGCTGGAAAGCAGAGGGTCGCACGTGAGCGTCCCCCCCTCCGGCTGGCGGCAGGGTAGTGCGGTCCCCGCCTTGCCAGGCATAAGGCAAGCGAGAAGGGACGCACTTCTTGCTCGCAAAGCGAGGCAGAGAGGCTCGGACCCTTGGTTTTTTGTGACAGAGGCCTACCAGGATCTCCCGAGAGTCTGAGAGAGATCGTCGGACATAAAAGGCTTCTCTCGACGAGAAAAGATCGAAAACAGCAAGATATGAGGACTCAGAGCCACGTGGAAGTGCGTTCTGATAATAACCTCGGGAGAGTTGAGTATGGGCTGGCCCCTCTGCGAGTCGCAGCCCCTGGAGTGGGGACTTAGCCACGAAGGCCTTTCCGGAGTCGTAACCCTTCCACAAAGAGACACAGAGTCAGCTAGAATACCGAAACAAGGGAGCCTTAAAAGAAAATATTGTGTTGCTATCCCTGTCCAGGAAGGCGAGTGCTGATCGGCAGCTTCCAGTCCGACAATAGAAGCTGTCTGATTCCCAACCCAGCCAGAGGCTGTCTCCGCAAGCACTCCTGACTACGTTTTAAAAAAGTAAAAGGAATAAAACACTGGAGGAAAATACACCAAAATGTTAACGATGATTAACTACAGTAGTAAATTGTGGTTTTCGTTTTCTGATTTGAACTTGTGTCTGCTTTCTACAACTTTTCCAACGATTTTACAAATGTCATAGATTGCCATCTTAACCAGAAAAAAAAGGAAACTTTGACATTTCAATGACATATACAACATGATCTCAATTATATACATATGCATAGAAAAGGAAGGAAATGGGAAGAATTGTTAACATTGTGCTAGTTTTGACAGCTCAGATTTGGTCTCTTGTTCTAATTTGCACTTTATGGTATTTTCCACATGATAAATAGAGAAATTAAGCAGTTTAGAAATGAATGAGATCATTCTGTTCAAAAGTCATAAGTCATGAAGTTCAAAAATGAGATAATGAATTCAAAAGCCTTCAGGAACTATAAAGCAAAGGTAATACACTAGTGTTATAATGAAGATAAGTTTATAATATTTCTTGCTGTAAATTAGCAAATGGATTTAGGGTGCATTATGAGTCTCTCTGTATGAATCTATTTTTCTGTGGCAAAGGCAACTTGCAGGTAAATTGATCAAGACTTCAAAACTACAAGTCAAACCAGGTACCAGGGGAAAAAATCCCAAACCTAGGAGTCCATCCAACCTGCCCGTAACATTACTACATTGATGACAGCAGCAGACATTCATGAGAGGAGGCATACCTAAACAAAGAAGAGAAAGGACTGTACTGGTCTCTCTGGATGTTAAATAACAAAAGAAAGGTTTGACTTGATTACAAATGTAGATATCCTGCAGGTTCTTTGGAGGTTTTCTATGACATTTACCTCTAAGTAGTTCATGTATGCATTCATTTGTGTGTAAATCAATAAAACAATTTTTCAAGTGGACCCTAAAGGCATTTTCTTATTTCTATTAAGAAATTAATCTAGTTTACAGAGTGATTTTGTAAATGTCCTAAGTAAGCTTTTTGTTAATTTACTGTGAATTTTTTTAATCTTTATAAAGCCATTGTTTATTGTATGACAGATCTGGGAACCTTTAGGAAATTAATATTTGAAATTTATGTCTTTTTAAAATTTTTATTGGTATATAGCTGATTTACAAGGTTGTGTTAGTTTCAGGTGTACAACAAATTGAATCAGTTATGAAGTGAGGTGAAGTGAAATCGCTCAGTCGTGTCTGACTCTTTGCGACCCCGTGGACTGTAGGCCACGAGGCTCCTCCGTCCATGGGATTTCCCAGGCAAGAATACTGGAGTGGGTTGCCATATACATCTATCCACTCTTTTTAAGATTCTTCTCTCATATAGGTTGTTACAGAGTATTGAATAGAGTTCCCTGTGCTATACAGTGGGTCTTTTTTGGTTATCTGTTTTATATATAGTGGTTGGGAAGATCCCCTGGAGGAAGGCATGGCATCCAGTATGCCTCCAGTATTCCAGCCTGGAGAATCCCCATGGACAGAGGAGCCTGAGGGCTACAGTCCATGGGGTCGCAAAGAGTCGGACACAACTGAGCGACTAAGCACACATGGTGTGTGTATATCTACCCCAATCCCTCGATTTATCCCTCCCCCTGTGAATTTTAATATGTATTAAAAATAAATAAGACTTTTCTCTAGTGACAAATTTTAGCTTATTACTTGAGATTATAAAGGTTCTTAATGTATATCAACTTGTTGCCATTCTCATAACAGTTCTATGAAGAAGATAGAAGAGCTACTATCTCTGTATTTACTACTATCCCTGTATTTGTAAATACAAGGAAGATGAGGCACAAAGATATTAAATAAATATCACAATTCAGCAAATATGAAACTGGAAACTTTTTTATATATAGTGGTTGGGAAGATCCCCTGGAGGAAGGCATGGCATCCAGTATGCCTCCAGTATTCCAGCCTGGAGAATCCCCATGGACAGAGGAGCCTGCGGGCTACAGTCCATGGGGTCGCAAAGAGTCGGACACGACTGAGCGACTAAGCACACATGGTGTGTGTATATCTACCCCAATCCCTCGATTTATCCCTCCCCCTGTGAATTTTCATATGTATTAAAAATAAATAAGACTTTTCTCTAGTGACAAACTTTAGCTTATTACTTGAGATTATAAAAGTTCTTAATGTATATCAACTTGTTGTCATTCTCATAACAGTTCTATGAAGAAGATAGAAGAGCTACTATCTCTGTATTTACTACTATCCCTGTATTTGTAAATACAAGGAAGATGAGGCACAAAGATATTAAATAAATATCACAATTCAGCAAATATGAAACTGGAAACTCAAACTCACTTCTTCTGACCACCAATTCAGTACCCTAATATCCACTGATTGCTCAATGACACTGAGATGATGAGTCTAACTTTTATACTTCTCTAGTAACACTTCAGTAGATCTCTGTTATAGAAATCTCAAAAAGAATACACAGGTTCTTTTTCCACAATCCTGACTTAAATGTTCAGGATAAGCACTGCACTAAGAATATTTACTTCACCCATCAAGAATATTTGTGGGGCAGAAGACAAGTGCAAGTAAACTGTCCTTTGTCTTAATGTAGAAGTCTCAAGATTTGTTACTAAAGTAAAATGCTATGTTAATTTCACAGAGAAGAGTACCTTAGAACTTACATTACACAAATACAAATATATTATACAAATACAAATACATTATACATTATGCAAATACCATGTCACAATTAAAGTGACATGGTAATTAACAGAGAGCTAATTGCAACCTAGGCTTTCATGAGATACAATAATAGTGATAAATAGCTACCAGGTAAATACCCATTTTCAACTATGCAATTAACTCGTGTCAACCTTGCAGGTTTATAAAGAACATAAAATACGGTGTATTCTCAGGGGAAAAAAAAAAGAGTTGTAGCTCTTATGTTTAAGAATTCTTTCAAACAGAGCTTGGTAAATCTATTTCCTAATGTGATGTTGATTCATGATGTCCTCGTTTCTTTTTGTTTTTGCCACCTATTACAAAATTATAAAAATCAAATATATCAGCTAAGCCTCTGAGCAATGAGTGTAATAGAAATTTTCTGAAATCAAATTTAAATGAAACTTTTACAGACAGAGAAATTCTCCACACATTTCAAAATTTCCCAATTATCAGTTTGATTTGTATTCGTAAATTGTTTCTGCCATATGCATATAAATATGCACAGAGTATTGAGGACCCTCTTACTATTATCCCATCAATATGCATCTGTATATGTATAACCTTTTAAACTAGACATACAAAAGAGTGGGTCAGCTATAAATCGGCACTTACCATCTACTTCTACAAGGATTAGCTCATGTGCTGTTCAACTGCTGACCCTCAGCACCCCCTGAAAGGAGCTGGGGTGGGGGGTGACTGCCAGGACAGGAATTCAGATAGTTAGATATTTTAAGGAGCCAATTTTATGAGCTCAATTCTTGTATCTCCTCATATCTAGAAAAGCACTAAAATCCTTCATGGTGACGACTGTTCCTTGTAACTAGCAGAAAGCATCATGAGACTAGCAGAAACCTGCTGGAAAAAATACATGCTTGAATGCAAGTATTC